CCAGCCCCCCCCCCCCCCAGAGCCCCCCCCCCCCCCCCCCGCCCCGCTGCTCCCCCCGCCGCTGCTGCCGCCACTTGATGTATTACCACCTCACCGGTTTTGAATGTGATCAAGATGGTTGTTGAGGTGGAGAAATCCACGGTGAATGAGACGCCAGCGTTTGACGACGTATTATAGAGTGAGTGAAGCTGCTGAGTGGCCGACGCTGGTGGCACTGGGCGGCGGGCGGACAGGAATATATGAAACTGTATGAATGTACAGCAGGTGTTTAGTCAAAGTGCACGGTCAGCAGGACGGCCGCGGCCGATAAATGAGGAGCTGTAAACTGTGTCCAAACTTTTGACAAGAACAGATTCAGTGATGTAGGAACACTGAGCGGCTCCACACTCAAACTCACTGAGACTGAGACTAAGACTGCTGACTGTCCCAAACTGAAGGCCCGTGGGCCAAATTTGGCCCGTGACGTCATTTTATGCGGCCAACCAGAGCGTCATGTGTCTGTGGTTGTCCTACGGTCTGTACTGGTGTTTACTGGAACTCTATGTGTGAGTGAGTGTGTTTTAGCAGGTAAATCACAATTTTACTTCTCTAGTTCCAATTCTAATCAAACAAACAGTTAGCAAATATATTTTTGAGACAATACTCCTATTTTTCCTGCCTTTTTTCTAAAAACAGAGTCCGACTGCAGCGACGTGTCGTTCAGTCGTACGTTCGTACGCAGCAGCCACAGTCGTGGGGATTGAGTGATTTCCAAATGACCTTTAAGGTGTTTTTTAAAGCCCTGAGCTCCAGTGTGTTCATGTTTATGATGAAGCGTCCCTTCAACGCCAACACTGCCAGGAGTTTTAGCAATAAACGGAAGCATCACCGTTTCACTCTGCTCTGTATTAGAGCTCTGTTTCAGAGATATATTATTTCCCGGCGTGTATTTATAACTCTGGGCTCATTCCAGCAGAGACAGGGACCTATCGCTTTCCCCACAAACACTCACACAGGGAGGGAGAGGGTGACACAGAGTGTGTTTGTGTATGTGCACGTATATTCAGGCGAGAAGACACAGTATACACTCTGAAGCATTTGTACCAGAGTACAAATGCCTGCGTGCTCCGTTCTTAAGAGGGGCGTTCAGTTTAAGCCTCTTTTGTACGGAGGCGTATTACAAAAAAAAAAAAGGAAACACTTTCCTTCTGCAGACTTAATTGTGACTCCGAATAAATGCCAGGGTTAGTCAATAAGTTCGAATAATCGAAAAACCGAGTACACAGTAAATACAAAAACTGTAGTAATAATTAAAAGCTTTGCTTTTTTTTCAGGAACTGAATCCAGTTCCTCTCTTTCATATTTCTTTCTAACCTCGTAGATATTCTTGACTCTCTTGCCTTCGCTCCAAATGTGTGTTTTAATGAAAGTGTTCAATACGTTACAACAAAAGGAATCTGGAAAATTAAGACAAGTAGCGGCCTGGCAAACAGGCAAACCTTCGACTCCTAAAAAGGCAACAAAGATTTAATTAATTTCTCAGACTTTTTTTTCTCCCCAGTGTCGACAAAACATCGTTAGTCCTTGAAAACTTAATAATAAAAAAGTGCAAGTCTTACTAAACTGATTTCTTTTCATTGAAAACAAGAGATAAAAATCAGCCTCTCTAAAATGTCCCTCTCTGGGACAGCTCTGTGTCCCTCTGAGTGGCCCTGCCCCTCATTTTCAGAACCGCTGACCTATATGAAGTAGAAAGTAGAATGTGCTTTACTTAGAACCCTGTTCAGTTCAGGGCCCGACCCACTCACCTGAACTCTCTGCTGCTGTGGTGAGACTGCAGTCTGGACACGGTACTGCACCTCCTGAAGCACAGTTAGTGAGCCCAGGAGACCACCCATGTTCAGCCCACTTCCCTGGTATTTATCACAGGTGACGGACTGTGAGGGAGAGAAAAAACGAAACAAAACAAAAACCTCCACCTGACACCTCTCTGTGCGAGCGCTGGAGCTGACTCATTA